TTGTGGCTCCATGTGCGTGGTTTCTTCCTCGAAGATTTTTCTTTGTCTTCCGTAGTTAGTCTCAACAATTACGGTCGGGGTGATGCTGACTACGGGACTTTCCAGGTACCGTGATTCTGCCAACCTCAGTTCTTCCAGGTAGCCTCTTTTTGCGCAGAGGACGTGGCGCTTCGTGGGTGCGGGAGCGAGCAGGTCGGCGTCTGGCGTGCCCAACCGGTTGGGGACTCCAGACTGGGACATCACTGCGAAGCTAATCCGTTTAGTATTGCTCCCAATGGCCGTCGTCGCTGGCACAGTGACAGTGAGGGGTAGGGTGCCGGTGCCGATAGCCGTCTCGACCGGGGTCGTGTCTCGTGAGAGCGGTATCCCTGCCCGTTTCCTGTCCGCTTCCTGCAACAGGCTCATGTCGGCTCCGGTGTCCACTAGGAAATCTAGCGGTGCCTGCTCCACCAGGGCTCTCACGCAAAAGGGGGCTGGTCGGCCCGTCCCTTCCCTATTGGGGCATTAGCCGGTGCCTCTAAGGCTTCCAGTCTCTCCAAGGGCCTTTCCATGTCCGTTGCGCCGTCGGTCCTCTTGGTGGCATCCGTTCGGTTACCTGGGGGCCTCTTCTCCTTCCTGCGATGCGCGTCCTTTCTGCGCTTGTTGTCCCAGCGGCCCTTTTCTGTTTGGATTATCTCCCTGGCGGTGGTGAGTCTATCCCCTGTGGTCACGTCGCCACCAAGTCTCACGAATATGGTCCCACTATTCGTTTGAGTCACGGAGTGCATGGGACGTCCATAACTATCCTTGTAGTACCGAGCGGGGCATACTCTGGCCCAGTGACCGCGTTTGCCGCAATTGAGGCATGTTGAGTCGCGTGCTGGACATACGCCGTTGCGTGGGTGAGGATACCCTTCGCAGGTGGCGCAGACAGGCGAGCCGACTTGCACCTCGCATAGCTGTTCTCTTCAACCATTTCCGATGGTTGCTCTACGGGCGATTGTTGGACGTTTACTGCCGGGTTTACAACGGCCAAGACACGCGTCTGTGCTTCGAGGTTGATGCACACGCTGTCAACTACGTCTAGGAGTGACTTTCCCCTGACCGACATATTCGTATACCACGT